GTGCGGCGTCGCGGGGACCTACCCGGCAGCGCCCCAGCTGCTCTGTCCCAGGCATCCAGATTCAGCTGCTGTTGAAACTGATCAGCGGCTGATTCCAGGAAGCCCAGGGCAGAGCAACTCTGCCTTGGGCTTCCTGTAGTAAGCCGCTGGTCAGTTTCAGCAGTGGCTGAATCTGGACGCCAGTTCCAACTGACATACAAATTCAACTTAAGAACAAACCTACCGTCCCTATCTTGTACGTAACCTGGGGACTGCCTGTATACTGATGAGAGCCATCTATGAAACTGGATAGATAAAAATCACCACCATGGTTAAGGAAATGGTAACTAGGTATCATTGATACTAGTTTCATTTATTTACTACAATTAAAAAAAAAACCTGAGGACATGCCAACTCTCCATGACTGTGTGTTTCTAATGTTGTTACTTCTGGTCACTTGTTGCATCTTTTCTTAGATATAAACTCTTTAGGGGGAAGACCATGCCTTCCTATGAATTCAGTGCAGTTCCCAGGCAGACTGGGGATACAGCATCCCCACCATGAAGCTCTTGGAACAAATTTCATATTTCTGCATGTACAATAATATGTACAGGGATTATGAAAGTACAGTTTTTTGCAGTGTTATTTTTCTGATATTAAACACATTCTAAGAAGACCAACTTCAATGCCAACACACTGATAAACAATTATTATTCATAATGTTAAAATGCATTTTCTGAGAGTGGCACTCACCTCTCACAAGTGACCCTTTGACAGAGTGCATCTTTCTATTGTTAGTTCCACCATGTATAAATGGGCTTGGCCCTGGTATCAAGTCATACTCCAGGCCTTTCCCCCTGAGATAGTGTCCTTGACTCTCTGGGCCTGTTGAGCTGCAGCTTTCCTGCTGGGCCGCTGAAAGAATTCATTCCCCCTTCTAATGTGCATCAAGGTTCAAATCGCTTCCCCATTACCTAATAGAGAAAAGAGGAGGACTCGGGCCTGTTCATTCGTCCAGATCCCACCCAGGGACCCTGTAGATTGCAGCCATCTGCCACATCACTTTAACTCCACTGCGTTGCTGCCTCAGCACATTCTTCACACATTCCTAAGGGCTTTGTTCTGGTTGAGTCTCAGCATCCTAGCCCAGACATTCTTCTCTGTCTTCTCATTGTTTGTCAGCATTGCTCTGTCCAAGGTCTTGTAGCTCCCCCAGCCAGCCAGGCACACCACATACCCTCTTCCAGATCTAGCAAGACCTTAACTGACATTGGCACTGCTGCTCCTTTTATGTGAGGCTGCAGGGCCCTGATTGGCTGATCATTGATTGCTTCCCTGCAACCACTCTAGGCTGTTAGGAGGACTTCTCTTCTCTTGTCTGTAGGACAGGTAGGACCATAGGGCTGTCTGGAGGGCCTAAACAGTGTGATATAACCTGTCACTTGTCCCCTTTCACTTTTTTTCTATTTCCTATCCTCATCTTTCTGTCTTTTAACATATTGCATTAATAATGTTGGTTTTATTAGAAATCTATCTTGATTTACATATATACATCAATATAAAATTTGCCCAGATACTTTATGGTAGAGTGACATCACATTTTTAAAGAAATGCTTTTTACTAGCAATTAATGGTGGCCACGTTAAGCCTGGGATTTTCAAAATTACTCAGCATTAACTTAACTGCTAACTGCTGCTTCTTAGCATAAGTGCAACATTCCTCTGGTGGCATTTAAAATCATTGGATGTTATAACCTTAATTTCAAGCCAGTATTAAGCGCTTTTGAAAAATCCCACCCACATATAAATTATTTAAGATAGTTACCTTTGTCTTCAAGCTGTCTCTAAAACACTTAGCATGTTGATGCAATCTTGAGTAATAACATTTGGTAATATGAGTCTCAAATTAATGTTTTAGTATATGTCTACAGGGAGGTCTTCTAGATACCATGCTATGAGGTCCTGTCCTTTTTCTGAAGTAATACATAAATAAATGAAGACTATTAATTGTTTAGGCCTTTCACTCCATTAACCAACTCCTAAGGACTGAATTGTTGCTAGTTCACATGAGTAATTGGTTCTGTGGCACATTGGGGAACATCTAGACTACGTTCTTTTTTCAAAAGAAGATATGCAAATCCTGTGCTATTTTGCATATCTTCTTCCAGTCACTTTTTTGAAAGCGTTTTTTTCAAAAAAGAAAGCAGTTTGGACATGGTTCTTTCGGAAAAAAACCCTTTTTTGAAAGAACCCGCACACCTCATTTTTTGAGGAAGAAAGTTTCTTTCAGAAAAGGGTTTTTTCGAAAAAACTGCATCTAAACTGCTTTCTTTTTTGAAAAAATGTTTTTGAAAAAACAATCAGAAGAAGATATACAAATTAGCACCAAATTTGCATATCTTTCAAAAAAAGAGCGTAGTCTAGATGTTCCCTGGCATGGTAACAGACAATTAGGACCTGATTTTCAAGTGGTTGTAGTCTCCATGCACGTTAAAAATATCGATGCAAAAATACTCCTGCAAATGAGTGCAGTTACTGCGGCAGTGCATGAAAATCAGGTAAATAGGCATGCAAATCAAGTGACTAGTCATCAAGGCATTAACTGATGCTTTTACCTAATTGATACACTCAGCTGAGGGGCTGCTCTAGCACAACAGTCTGAACAGCAAGTTCAGAGCTCATGGTTTTTTAAAAATTAGCCCCTACGGTCTGTTGCTGTCCTTTATAGATATAAAAAGATACATTTTGTTTAATTTCAAAAAAATTCAAAATGCTATAATCATTTAGGAGAGAGGCTAGAAAATTTCCACCTATAATTTTTTGATAAGTTGTTACTTCTTTTTTTAATTCTATGGGCAGGCTTTTACAATAAGACTTACAGTGTGCATCTTATCCAAAGCAATACATAAAATAATTTCATATATGCAATATATTCTGCTACTTATATAGCATACCTAATTAATTGTAGAGTTCTAGTTAGTTTGTTTGATTTGTAATACAAACATTTCAAAAGGAAGTTTGCCAATGTTTGAACTAAACATAAAAAATGACTTTTCATGGAAGTCAGAGGTAACATGTACAGTGTAAGTGAACATGCATTTACATGTGAAAATCAAATGTGACTGCAAAGGGAAATCTTTTCTTTTTTTACCCGTATGGATCATAAAACTGTACTGAATAAATATACATGAGCAGAGCATAGACTTATCTCAGGACCCATGAGTGAGCCCTGCATGTAAGTAAGTCACAGAAGATAGTGATCACTTTCAGGATAGTTGTGATGGCAACATAAGGCCAATTGTAAAATGTTGCACGGATTACTGAAGAGTCTGTAAAGCTCAGAGCGGTATATAGCGGTGAAAGTGGTTAGAAGTTGACAGCATGGTTTCTTTTCAGAGGCAGGTATTAAAGCATTTAGTGAAAAAAGCAAGAGAGTGAGCTTGATGATAATCTGTTTGTGCAGGGAAGGATAGGTTCTCTGTGGAGTTGATGATCCTTACTCAATATCTAGGAATGAAGAGTCTACTTCACAAAAACCACTTTCAATACTGCAATGCTTGTTGGGTGATAGAGCATAGACTGAATATTCATGGAGACTTAACTAACCTCCCAACCCCTAGAGAAAGTACCTGCACAGAAAGGTTAAGGCTTATTTGATGAATGGTACTGGAAAACTTGCACTGCCATTATCTGTGCTGTTACTTTTCTGTGGATAAATTAATGACTTCAAGGCCAACACTTTTTGTGAACATTACATTCACTTTTAATTTAAAAAAGGAAGAATGACATTTACTACAATCATCAACACTGTATAAAAACATAGATAAATAACTCACAACATGCTCTGGACTCTCACACACATGCCCAACCATATCCCCTTCAGTTGTGCTTTTACACACTAAGCATGAATGAATTTATTCAACAGCTGAATGAGAGACCTTCAAGGAAAACCCAGAAAACTACCAGATGAGATGCTGATTGTTCCATTGGTGGCAACAGCTCCGCTTTCCTGCTGTCTGTTTACAAGCATTTCTAAAGCACCCATCACTGATATTTTGCTGGTGGCTGAAACATAAAACTAAGGTCCTGACTATAGGCAGTCAATAAAAATGCCATAGCACGTTTGCCAATATAAGGCTAGTAACGCTAATGTCTTGGCCATAACCAAATTTAGCTAGCTCTGCATGCCAGGAGTCAGCATTTATAGTAAAAGCTGCAGTTATCTCTGTGTGAACTGAATCTTTCTAGCCAAAACAGGAGGTATTTCCTGTGTATAATGATCCTTTTCCCTTGTGTTGCTTTTGGAGTTTGGGGCCAGCTATCAATGTACTTTATGAAACATAAATAATGCATCTAATTTAGTATTGCAGATTTCATCTCAGATAGATTAAAATAGAAAGATTTGTGATACTTCCATAAAACTAACCCTTTTCAGACATTCCACCTTTTTATAAAATTAATGGTGTGTTTTTTTCCTCCTTGTATGGAAGTTTGACTCTGCAGATTATAGACTTAATCTCAAAAAGTTACTGAGATGGGCACATTGCCTGTTATAAACTATAAAACATAGAAGATAAGAATGTTAATACAGTTCATTGGGCATGCTTGACGACCTGTATCCTGAGGCTGACTTCAACTTGCATTGTCCCTGGGTGAATGAGGAAATGAGAGTTAAACAAATTTCTAGCTCTCGTAGAAAAGGATGGATTTTGTGTTCATCATAGTGCCTTTTTACATGACATTGCATTGCTGCTATTATACCATATTGACACACTTTGTATACAATAAGTATTTTATTGGCAATCCAGGCATATATGGTATTGAGAACAATAGTAGTTTGGGTATAAAATGAAGTGTAGAGTTTTACAAGAATGAAACATACCAAAGTTATGTTATTAATTGTGTATTATTAACTTATTCTCAGTTTCAAATATGGGGTGGGTTGTAATTTTTCTGTTTTTCCTTTTGCAAAATTGCTGAGAGGAGTTTTCATTAACCTGGTTATTGTTTTCCTGACTGCAGAAATTCTTTGATCTTGAAGAGGAGAATGTTTGCTTTCTCAAAGAACAAAAAAATACTTCCCTTCCCAAATTAAATCGGAACAAATATATGGTGACTGATGGAGCTGCTTATATTGGTAAGCAAACCCACATCTTGGTTAGTTCTGATTAGTACATTATAGATTTGGGGCCCAACGTCTGATTTAACCATTAATTGTAAACAAGGTATTAAGTAATTAAAAGCCCCATTCAGGTAAAGTATCAGTCTTTGAAGACCAGACATAAAATGAAAAAATTCTATTTTCAGTAAGAAGCTGTTTCTGAATGCTGGGGTAGGGGAATTGAATTCTTTCCTTCCAATTGATTGTTTCCCAAGAGACATGGTAGTATTTTGAATGATTAAATGTAGACTAAAAAAGCAACTATAAATGTATTTTATGGGACAGTCCTGCTTTGGTATGGGAATAATTGACAAGATCTATTAAGTCATCCATTCTCTAGTTTCTATAAAGACTAACCTCACAATTTGCCTCATCATCAATGTCTTTGGGGTATCTTCATAAGTGTAGGACAAGCTGTTTCTCTACTCATCCATTGTAATTTACCCCAGGGACACATGCTGCATACAGTAATACTTGATTTCAGAGTTCTTGCATTGTATTGTGCATGGTTTTTGTTCATAACCTGAAATTGTTGTACATAATATAAGAATGGCCGTACTAGGTCAGACCAAAGCTCCATCTAACCCAATAGCCTGTCTGCTGACAGTGGCCAGCACCAGGTGCCCCAGAGGGGGTGGACTGAAGACAATGATCAAGCGATTTGTTTCGTGCCATCCATCTCCAGCCTCTGACAAACAGAGGCAAGAGACACCATACCTACCCCCTGGCTAATAGCCTTTTATGGACCTATCCTCCATGAATTTATCTAGCTTCTCTTTAAACTCTGTTATAGTTCTAGCCTTCTCAGCCTCCTCTGGCAAGGATTTCTACAGGTTGACTATGCGCTGTGTGAAGAAGAACTTTTCCTTATTAGTTTTAAACCTCCTACGCAGTAATTTCATTTGGTGTCCTCTAGTCCTTACATTATGGGAACTAATGAATAACTTTTCTTTATTCACCCTCTCCATACCACTCATGATTTTATAGACCTCTATTATATCCCCCCTCAGTCTCCTCTTTTCCAAACTGAAAAGTCCCAGTCGCTTTAGCCTCTCCTCATATGGGACCTGTTCCAAACCCCTGATCATTTTAGTTGCCCTTTTCTGAGCCCTTTCCAAGGCCAAGATATCTTTTTTGAGGTGATGAGACCACATCTGTACACAGTACTCAAGATGTGGGCATACCATCATTTTATACAGGGCAGTAAGATATTCTGGGTGTTATTTTCTATCCCTTTCTTAATAATTCCTAACATTCTATTTGCCTTTTTGACCGCCGCAACACACTGTGTGGACATTTTCAGAGAACTATCTACTATAACTCCAAGATCTCTTTCCTGATTTGTCATAGCCAAATTATTCCCCATCGTATTATATATATAGTTGGGGTTATTTTTTCCAACGTGCATTACTTTACACTTATCCACATTACATTTCATTTGCCATTTTGTTTTCCAGTCACTCACAGTTTTGTGAGATCTTTTTGAAGTTCTTCACAGTCTGCTTCTGTCTTGACTATCTTAAACAGTTTAGTATCATCCGCAAACTTTACTACCTCACTGCTTGCCCCTTTCTCTAGATCATTTATGAATACGTTGAATAGGATTGGTCCCAAAACTGACCCTTGGGGGACACCACTAGTTACCCCTCTCCATTCTGAAAATTTACCATGTATTCCTACACTTTGTTTCCTGTCTTTTAACTAGTTCTCAATCCATGAAAGGACCTTCCCTCTTATCCCATGACAATGTAATTTACACAAGAGCCTTTGGGGAGGGACTTTGTCAAAGGCTTTCTGAAAATCTAAGTACACTATATCTACTGGATCCCTTTTGTCCACATGTTTGTTAACCCCTTCAAAGTACTCTAATAGATTAGTAAGACATGATTTCCCTTTACAGAAACCATGTTGACTTTTGCCCAACAAATTATGTTCTTCTACGTGCCTAACAATTTTATTTTTAACTATTGTTTCGACTAATTTGCCCGGTACCGATGTTAGACTTACCGGTCTGTAATTGCCGGGATCACCTCTAGAGTCCTTTTTAAATATTGGTGTCATGTTAGCTATCTTCCAGTCAGTAGGTACGGAAGCCAATTTAAGGGACAGATTACAAACCAGTTAACAGTTCTGCAATTTCCCATTTGAGTTCTTTTAGAACCCTTGGGAGAATGCCATCTGGTCCCGGTGATTTGTTCACGTTAAGTTTTTCTATTTGTTCCAAAACCTCCTCTAATGACACTTCAATCCAGGACAGTTGTCCAGAGGGTAAGTGAATATTTGAACAATGTATGTATGTAGCGAAGTGTAAACATTTATTTTGAACAAAATATTTGTGAAATGTACTAGTAAAATAATCCTTGAAGAAAAAGCAAGTGCTATAAGTTATTTAGGATAGAAATTTACATTCTTGGATTTATTAACCTCCCATGAGTGAAAATCTGTTACTTTTTAATTCATAGGCAGTTTCCCCTCTCCCTAAAAATGAAGGGCACATCTCAAGTAACTGACTTAAGAAAGCGGTAGATCACTGAAGTTCCTTTCACGTTCAGTTAGTGGTTGACTTACCTCTTGAAGCTCAATGTCAACTGATTTGGTGTAGCCTGAAATCCAAAATCCTGCCTGAGCCAAACTTGATGCAGAGTCTTGCCATGGTCTTCCATAAGGACACGCCTCTCTGAGTCATAAGAACATTCAAATTGCCAGATCCAAACCAAGCAGCAGTCTGTCTCCTCCAGTATCCTAGAGACTCTGGCAGCGTCCAATACCAGATGTTCATGCTTCAGAGGAAGGAGCAGAAAACTCTGCAACAGATGTTCATGAAACAGTCTGCCCTTTCAGGAAAGTTTTTTCCTAATACCCATTCTGTTTGATGTTTTATACCCTTAATAAAACACAAGTTTATTTACTTTCATTTTTAATATCATTACTCTTGTAATTCAAGCTATTCTATTCATATAAGCATCTACTGCTTTTTGAACCCTGCTAAGCTTTTCACCTCAGTAGCATCTTGTGAAAATGATTACCATAGGCTGTGCATGTGTTTTGTGAATAAAGCGTATCCTTTTAGAAGTTTTCAGTTACCTGACTTGCACTTTCATTGGCTGTCCCCTTGTTCTTGTATTGTAAATAAGGGTGACTAAGACTATACTTCTTTCCGGAGCTCATTGCCTCAGTCCCTTCCATTTGGGTGAGTGTCATTGCCAGTTGCCACTACCTTGTTGTACAAAAGCCTTGGGGTCATGCATGAGCGGTGAGTGAAGCTGTTACTTGGGAAAACAAGATCCCCAGCATGTGGCCCCACCCATACGCCACCCCTGCTCTGCCCAGTCCCCCCACCCACCGCCAACTAACTACACCATTGCCTCCATTTGCAGTTACAACTGACTGGGGATTCAGAAGTGTGGAAGGGATATAAACCTTCATGCTTCAGGGCACAAGCCATCCTCTAACCAAAAGGAAAAATCTTCCTTTATGGGCAAGTTACTCCGTAATTGCCCACTTCTACGTTCTTGCATCTTCCTCTGAAGTGTCTCAGACTGGCCACTATCAGAGGAAAAGATACTTCTCTGGATTCTAGCTAGACCACTGATATAATCCACTACAGCAGCTCCTGAATCATTGTATTTCTTCTCTGGACCTCCTCTGCTGTTCCATACACCTGGAACTTCCTCCCAGACCCAATCAAAAATTCCTTCATCTCTCCTGAAAACACACTTCTTCTCTTTATCCACACGCTCCTCACAGAACATATAGAAAAGGATAAACAAAACAAAACTTTTTAACATCCTTACATTACTTTTCAAGAGTTTGCCTTCCCCTCATCCTCCACTTGTGCCTGTTGTCCTCTTAGATTTTAAGCTAGTAAAGTATGGACACTGTTTCTTCCTAGCCATCTGTAAAGAACCTAGTCTGTACTTTGTTCTACACCTGGAATGAATAATACAGCATGGATTGTCAGCCATGGTGATAAAATCAAATCTTACTTGAACCAATTAGCACGTAATCACAGAGATGATCATGCTGCTTTTGTTCTAATGTTGACTTTAAACAAATGAAGGTTGATTGTGCAGTTAAGGATTAGATATATTGGCATCGTGGGATATTAATTTATTCCGAATTCAGGCATAGCATATGTGCACTTACACACAGTAAAGATAAATGCTCTAATCACTAACTCTTCTGTGCAATGAAAGGATTTTTTAAGCACATCAGTAGCAGAAAGCCTGCCAACCAATCAGTGGGACCTCTGGATAATCAAGTTGCTAACAGAGCACTCAGAGCACTGTTATCAAGAAGCAGCCCCGTGGGGCTGCTGGCTCCCAGGCTTTGAGGGCTGGAAGTTGACAGCATCACATGGGGCCAAAAGTGGCAGTGGGAGGCTGGGGAGGCTGCCAGCTCCCGGTC